ACACCAATGATGAACACACAGAAAGAGAAACTTAAAAAACAATCCCCCTTACCACTGTAGCAAAAAATTAAGATATCTCGGAATAAACTTAACCAAAAAAGTAAAGGACCTATTTGCAGAAAACTACAGGACATCGAAATTAGAAATAGAGGAAGACATAAAAAAGTGGAAGCACATACATTGTACATGGATTGGAAGAATTAACATCATTAAAATGTCCATACTACCTAAAGCAATCTGTAGATTCAATGCAATCCTCATCAAAATACCAATGACATATTTCACAGAACTAGAAGAAATACTTCAAAAGTTCATATGAAACCAAAATTGCACAAAATAGACACAGCAATCTTGAAAAAGAAGGACAAAGTAGTCAGGATCACAATACCAGATATCAGGTTATAGTACAAAGCTACTGTAATCAAAACAGCCTGATACTGGCACATGAACAGGCACATAAATTAATTGAATAAAACAGAGAACCCAGAAATTGACCCAAAACATTATGCTCAATTAATATTGGACAAAGGTGGCAAGAGCATACAGTGCAGTAAAGACAGCCTCTTTAATAAACGGTGTTTGAAAAATTAGACAGCTACATACAAAAAAATGAAACTAGACCATCAACTTACACCATACACAAGAATAAACTCAAAATGGATAAAGGGCTTAAATGTGACTCATGAATTCATAAAAATCCTAGGAGAAAATGTAGGCAACAAAATTTCAGAAGTCATACGCAGCAGAATTTTCACTGATACATCACCTAAGGCAATAAAAACAGAGGGAAAAAATGAACACAGGGGACTACATCAAACTAAAAAGCTTCTGCACAGCAAAAGATGCAACCATCAAAATGGAAAGGCAACCCACTGTATGGGAGAACATCACTGCCAATGATACATCAGATAAGCAGTTCATTTCCAAAATATATAGAGGGCTCATACAACTCAACAAAAGGAAGACAAAGAACTCAATTAGAAATGGGCAGAGGAACTAAATAGACACCTCTCCGAACAGGAAATACAAATGGCCAAGAGACATATGAAGAAATGCTCAACAACACTAATCAGCAGAGAGATGCAAATTAAACCAACAATGAGGTATCACCTCACACCTGTCAGAATGGCCACTATCAACAAAGCATTAAACAAGTGTTGGTGAAGGTATGGAGAAAAGGGGAATCTAGTACACTGCTGGTGGGAATGCATATTAGTGCAGACACTATGAAAAACACTATGGTGTTACCTCAAAAAATTAAAAATTGAATTGCCATTTGACCCAGTGATCCCACTTCTAGGAATATACCCTAAGAAGCCTGAAACACCAATCAGAAAGAATATATGTACCCCCATGTTCATAGCAGCACTATTTACAATAGCTAAGATCTGGAAACAGCCCAAGTGTCCATCAGTAAATGAACAGATAAAAAAGCAGTGGTACATATACACAATGGAGTAGAATATGGCTGTAAGAAAGATCTCTTATCCTTTGTGACGACATGGAGGGACCTGGAAAGTATTACCCTAAGTGAAACAAGCCAAGCAGAGAAAGACAAATATCATATGATCTCACTTATTTGTGGTATATAATGAACATAACAGTCTGAGGAACTGGGTAGTCCCAGAGACATGGAAGTGGGTTACAGACTGACAATCCCCAGAAGAGGGGACGTTGGGGGGAAGAGATAAACCACAAAACTTATACACATGTACGCATAACCAATGGACATGGACAACAAAGGTGGGGACAGGGGGAGGGAGGGGGAGGAGAGTGGCAATGGGGGAAAAAGGAGAAACATCTTTAACAAAAATAAATAAATAATATAATAAAAATTTTAAAAAAAGTCACCAAGTGTCACTCTGCCGTATTTTCTTGGTTTCAGCCCTCAAGGTTTCACCCAGATACAAGGAGAGTGGCAAAGACTTAATTTTAACTGGCACAGAAACCCTTTACAGGAAGTTCCTAGCATTTTCTCTACCAGAACAACCTCTGGATCTCACCTCCCAGAGCCACAGGAGCTAGAACACAGTGGCATGGTCTGAGAAAACACAGTATCCAAAACCTCAGGGGGTGGGGAGGTGCAGAGCTGGAGAGAAATTTGAGTGAGTACTGGTAAGGGGATAATAAAAATAAACAAATACAATATATGGGACATTGCTGAAAAATTAAGAAGAGACTTTTTCATTTGTGAGATCTAATCAGTTTCCTCTATTATTGACATTTTTCAGGCTGGTTGTCTCAATATATTATTAAAACACATATTGTGCTGGATTAGAAATTCGTTTCTGAGTGTAACAGACAAATATTTCATGAGATGTGAATAAATCAGCTCCTCAAGTGGATATATGCATTTGTGCCCTCACTCTGCGTTCTTTTCCTCGCGCAGTCCTGCAACAAGCCAGGGCTCTTATGTGCCTGTATGAAACATATCATTAGTCCTTGCCTACAGACAACTCAGTCTAGAGCAGTATTTACACAACCACTTTTTTTAGGCAATTCCCATCACAGTAGAAGCTTAAATCTAGGTATGTTAGTAAAATGTGAGTTAGATAATGAGACAGCCAAACAGAAAACTGTCACAAAGCAGCATATTAATGAGTCATGAAATAAATGGTATAGACAGGTAATTTAAATTCAGAGTAGGAAGAGATCACTATGGCACTGGGCAAACTAAGAAGACTTCATGGAGGTGTTTTCGAGATACATTTTCTCTAAAATCAGGTAACTTTCTAATAACCAAATAGTAAGCTTTATTTGTACCAAGTGTACATACATGTCCAAAGATATCTGACAATTAAGAATTATGCCAAACAACACATAAAGTACAGAATATGTTATACGTCTTTATTGAAACCAAATTATATCTAGTTTCCAGTCTCCGCTGGCCAAGTTTGGTGAAAAAACCAACATCAATAATTTTTGCTTGTTTGTTTCACTACTACATTTCACACACCCCCACCTCTCTCTCTCTCTCTCTCTCTCTCTCCAACTACTCCATTCTTCTCACTCACACTTAATTTTTATATTGTACCAAGACATCAGAACTTACAAAATCCAAGAAAAATAGGAAAAGTTCTCAACCAGGAGTCACTCGTGGCCATTAGTAAAAGCACTCACTGTCTTTCTAAACACCGTCCATTCAGACATGGCCAGAGCTGATACTGGCTCAACTCCATGTTGTCAAAACTGTCTCTATGGACTTTCACCTGGTCCATCAACTCAATGTTGGGGCTTTGCCCAACCTCTTGGGGGACTTCGACATGAAAAGTCTGGTGCAAACTTTTCTGTGGAATAAGGAGGACTAGAACACAAAAACACAAGGCACTGGCTGAACTTTCTGTCCAGAAAAATGTGTAAAATTATGTTTTAATTCTGTCATTTGTAAATCTATGTCAGCAAAAAAACTACAAAGTAATAAAATTATGAATATATCGCCCTGCCATAAGTGATAACTGTTCTTCCAGAAAAGAACTACTTTGTTAAAAGGGGAGATTAAATTACATAAATCCTGAATACCTATCAGTTGCACAAACACGAGAGAAAATAGGTAAATGGTGCTGGTAATAAGAAAATGAAAAGGCATTTCTGTCTAGTTATACATCTAACATACCTAATATCAATTATTTTGCTCTGGGTGCCATCATTTTTAAGCTATGGGGTATTCATTGAAATGTATCCAATCACAATACATTCATTTGACATTTGGAGATATAGCCTGACTATTTCACTTCAATTCTATCTTTTAGGATCAATTGCTTACCAAAACTACAAATTTTCTTCATACTTTGAAAACTCTCCTGAATCAATAGTTTTTCATAATCAATAAAAAGCATACATTCGTAACCCCGGGTGGTCTTTTTTTTTTTTAGGTCTTTTTGATACAGGCACTTTTAAACAGCATCTCAGTGTAAGAGATGGCCATTGTTATCAACATTTTGCTTCAAACTGCACAACCAACCGAAGGATATTAACCATATTTTACATTTTGGTAGTCAATCTGCCTTATCTGTTTATTTTGTGAACAAAATATTCAGGTATAATTCTTGGCTGATTATATCAACAAATGGTGTCATTATTGGTAGAAAAATAATAACATTGCATTTAATGTGATTTCTCAGTTGAGAGCCTCATTTTGCAGGAAGTTAAAATCAGTCCCATTAGGGGTATAACAAAGTTAAGTGTTTTGCCCACTCTGAGCTATTAAAATAATCAAGAAACTTTTTTTCCTAGCTTCCAATCTTTCTGTCCACCATCACCCCCCTCCTGAGTACTAACTATAAATAAAAGATGCACATTTTAACTACATCTGCCAAAACAAGCTGCACAGACCCAGAAACTTATGGAACATTATTAATTCTTTGGAGGTTCTGAAATTGAATGTACATCGGAATCACCTGGGGAGCTTTAAGAAATGCTGTTGCCTGGGTCACACCCCAGAGATTCTACTTTAATTGGTATAGAGTGAAGCCTAAGCATCAGGATTTTTTAAAGCCCCCCCACCCCACCCCGGTGATTCTAATACGCAGCTAAAATTGAGAACCACTGTTCTAAACCCTTGTTTTACAGACGAGACAAGCAACCCTGTCATGACACATGCACATCCGATGTTAGAAATGAAGCTGAAACCGAAGCTTCAGAATTCCAATTAATGACTCATTTCTCTAACCCAAGGGTCCTCAAGGTGTTCCCCAGGTCAGAGGTTCCCCTGAGGTTTCTCAGAGGTGCTGAAGGGGCCGTGAAGATAATCAGAGATCCAGGTCCACTCACCCCACAACAAAAGCAGCTTTAATTCATGTGTAGGGATTTTTTTGTTTGTTTTTTGTTTTTGTTTTTTACTTTTTGGACTGCTTTGCAGATGTTTTCAAGGATAAAAAAGAGAGAAAACAACAGAGGGGGGAAATATGTACCTGGCTAAAGTAAAAAGAATTTAAACTATTGCAAATAGACCACAGACATAGCAAGAGATCCCCCTTCTGAAAAAACAAACCAAAGAGTCCTTGCTTCAGTAGCATATATACTAAAATGGAAATGAAACAAACAAGATAAGCCTTGTCCCTATGTAAAGATGAGATGCAAATCTGTGAAGTGTTCCATTAAAAAAGAAAAAAAAAAAAGCCCGGCGGGCATGACTCAGTGAGCGTCAACCTATGAACCTAGAGGTCGCTGGTTCGATTTCTAGTCAGGGCACATGCCTAGGTTGTGGGCTCTATTCCCAGTGTGGGGCATGCAGGAGGCAGTCAATCAATGTTTCTCTCTCAATGATGTTTCTGTCTCTCTCTCCCTCTCCCTTGCTCTCTCTCTAAATATCTATAAATCTGTAAAAACTTTAAAAAGGAAGGGGAAGGAAGGAAGGAAGGAAGGAAGGAAGGAAGGAAGGAAGGAAGGAAGGAAGGAAGGAAGGAAGGAAGGAAGGAAGGCTGGCTCAGTTGGTGTGGCTCAATGGGTTGAGCATCATCCCATGCACCAAGAGGTCTCTGGCTCCATTCCCAGTTAGGGCACATGCCAGGGTTTTCGGCTCTATCCCCAATAGGGGAGGGGGGGGCAGGAGGCAGCCAATGGATGGTTATTTGATTGATATTCCTCTCACTGATGTTTCTCTCTCTCTCTCCCCTGCTCCATTCCTCTCTCTCTAAAAAAATCAATAAAACCTATTTAAAAGAAAAGACAAATTATGACTTTTTTAAAAATCTTCACCCAAGGATATTTTTCTATTTATCTTCAGATAGAGTGGGAGGGAGAGAGAGAGAGAGAAAGAGAAAGGGAGATAGAGAGAGAAACATCGACCTGAGAGGGACACATCGACTGGTTGCCTCCCACACGACCCTGACCAGGGCCTGGGACTAACCGCAACTGAGGTACATGCCCTTGGCCAGAATTGAACCTGCAACTCATTGCTCCACAGGCCAATGCTCTACCACTGAGCCAAACAGGCCAGGGCCGAATTATGACTTTTTAAGGATAGTCTAGGCCAGTGAATTTGATCCGTTTAAACCTAAACAATGAAGAGTCCTTAGGGCCAGAAAGTAACTGCTTTTAACATCCCAATGTGTATTTTTTAAATTTATTTTATTGCTGAAAGTATTACAGGTGTACTCCTGTTTTACACTGACCCCTTCCTCCCAACTCCTGCTCACCTCCCCACCTTCACCACCCAATATGTATTTTATAATTTTTTTCCCTAGGGGAGAGCACGAACGCAGTCCCCCGCTACCACCGAGTATGCAGTCAAGTTTCCCACGTTTGGGGAAATCGCAGGGGTCAGCACATCCAGAGTGCAACAGATAAGCCTCGCCCTGGGAAAAGCACCTTCGTGATCATGGTATATCCCCTGCCAGGTAAGTACGTATTTTATCATTCTTAAGGAGAGCTGTGAGGTGGACTGAAAGTGCCTCCAAGGGGGTTGGTTTCGAGAAAGAGCGAGGACTTTTCATTAAACAAGAATGTTTGGGAGAGGAGGCCAGCAAAGACTGTAGGAACAGGGGCAGGAAAGTTGGACAGAGAATGTTAAGACAGGAACTTAGCTCTAGAAGAAACTAGGCTTAAGCTTACTTTATATGCCAAATAAGAAAAGCGTACAGTCCTAGAAGAAGAAAAAGTGGAAAGCAGGTGTTTCATCCTCATAACCTTTGTCTGGAAAACCTCCATCCCATTTGCTTCTGGAGGAGGCTGGAGCAATGGAAAGCGAAGGCACAGTGCGGAAAGTGGCTAATCACGAGCTGTGACATCAGCCGAGGCACAGTACACGTCTACCTAAACCTTGCTACTTAATATTTGTCTCTAGAGTTTTATGTATCTTTCTTCCTTAGAATTTCCAGCAGTCATCCATTCATTTATTTTTATTTTGATGGGTTTATAAGATTTCCCATTACTACATGAAATCTGAAATAGAATCCTCATTGACATATTTTATTATTAATAACTGGAGATATATATTTATCATAAGAATAGCTATCATGTGTTGTTCACCTACCATATGCCAAAAACATGAGTGTTACCTGTAAATATTTTCTTTAATCTTCACAAAAACACTATGAAGTTAATGTTATTTTCTTTCTACTCATAGGGAGCCTAGGACTTAACAAGGTTATTTTGCTCAAGACCACACATCTTTAGTCTATTTTTGTTAAGATTTCCAAAGTCTGTATTCTTTCCTCTACTATGCCATGCTGTTTCATCCTCTCTATAGACCCCCAAATCAAGAAGAAAGGCGCCCCTTCCCCTTGTTTCTGAAATATGTAGGCCAGCAGTATTAAGCATACTTGAAGCTACTTTCTCCATTAATGGGACTCCATTTTCCTTTGAACCCAAAGACCCTCGGGAAACTACAACTTTACCATCAGTTAAAGATTAAAGTAAAAAAGAAAGTCTAATCATGAAAGGCATTCTAAGACATAGAAGGACATTTATTGCTGAATGAGACTTTACAAAATTTCATCAAATTTTATGAGCTTTATGCATTGTATATTAATGAATCCAGAAGTCTATATCCATCTACCTAATACTTAATCTTCTGCACATAGCAGGCAATTAAACACACTTATTTTGGAAAATCTCTTCTATTCCTTTTCTCCTGCAGAATATCTAGTAAAAATCCAACATTGTCATTATCACTCCAAGTTTAAAATGTCAAATTGTTTCTTATTAAGATTCTTAAAAATATAACACACAAGGCCTTTCTCCTATTAACCAAGGATGCATGTTTTAACTCATCTCCTCTAAAATAAACTTATCATCATATAAATCTAACCCATTTTACACAAGTAATATTTTTCTGGATCATTTTGTATTTTAAACCATGTATGTGGGGTTTTTTTGATAGTTGATATTGACTTGCAATATAATAAATATTCAGCTTCCAAGGGTGACTTCACTTCCAATTCTTCAATATTTATTTATTTATTTTTTCATCCTCACCCAAGGACATTTTTCCATTTTTTGTTCAGATAGAGTGAGAGGGAGAGAGAGGAAGAGAGAGAGAGAGAGAGAAACATCGATGCGAAAGGGACACATCGAGTGGCTGCCACCCGCACGACCAACCAGGGCCGGGGACAAACTGCAACCGAGGTACATGCCCTTAGCAGGAACCGAACCCGGGTCTCTCCGGACCGCAGGCCAACGCTCTAACCGCTGAGCCAAACTGGCCAGGGCCAATTCTTCAATATTTAAATCATGTTCCAACAATCTCTGCAAGCTGAAGTGAAAATAGCTAAAAGTTACTGAGCAATTAATATATCCTAGGCATTTCAATCATTTTAAGTAGAAAATCTTGATGTATCCTCATGGCAAATCCATAAAGGACAGAGAAATATCACTCCCATTTTAGAGATAAGGTAACTGAGTTTAGTACCCAAGTCACTCAGTTAACAGTGTAGAGCACTAATTCAAATCCAGGTGGGCTAACTCTGGAGCCCTGGCGACTTGACTACTCTTTAACCTACAACTTTCACTCCTGTTAGTCCCTTCTTTTACCCCACCTTAAGTTATATTTCATTGCCTGCACAAAATCAGAGTCTGGAGAACAGTCTCTGCCCCTCTTATTTATTTTATTACATTATTATCTCCAAATATAAGGCTTTGCACAAAATAAGAGCCCAACAACTTGAATTAAATTATTAAATTAAATTGAACTAATTAATTAATCATTTATTCATTCCATAAATATTTATGAAGCATATCTCTGTGCCCTATGATAGAGGTAAAATGGTGAACAATACAGGGAACTCCCTTCTTTGCTCACCTAAAATGAATATTCTAATGCGACTACCTATAAACACTCTAGCAGTTTGGTTGGTACATTTCTAGTTATCAGTAAAAGCAACTCAATCAAAACTAGTTTAAACTAAAAAGGAACTTCATGGCTTACATTCCTGAGAAGTCTAAGAGGTGACTGATTCCAGATACATTAGATCTAGGGCTTCAAAAACGCCCTTAGGAAATTCTCTCTCCCTTTTGGTTCTGCTTTCTTCATTCTGTTTTGTCCTTAGTTAGGGCTCTCCCATGTGAGCAACAGAGCTCCCAGAAGCTCCAGCTTATACGATCACTAGCAACTAAAGGGTAGGATAGTAATTTTTTCTGAAAATTTCAGCAGTTTTTGGTAGAGCTCTCAATGGCCATGCTTGGGTTACATACACATCATCTCCAAACTGATCAAAACTGTCAGACTAACTGGCCATTCCTTGGTAATGGGCTCATAGCACATCCCTTCCATGGGTGGGAGGGGTGGGGTTGTTTCCTAGAACATTAGGGAAGGGGAAGCTTGCTAATGAACCACATACCTATTTCTGTCAAGAAAATAAGTATTAGTTACTTCATAGACTAACCAGGCAACAAATAGTTCTCTATCCATATCCTTCGAAAAATGTTCCCTTAAAAATTATCACTACCACCACAAAAGTTTTTTTTTTATATATCTTAGTTTAGATCATTTTGTTGAATTGATAACTCTACTAAGATCACCCAGTACATTCAACCCATTTGCTTTTTTAAAAAAGAGACAATCCTACTCGCAAAAGCAGGCTAATAGCCAGGCTCTAAACTAATATATGCATTAAAATGGCTGCATTGGAGCATTATTTTTATATTGCAAAATCCGAATGTAAATGTTTTATTGCTTCTCCTAGATTATTGGAATTGTGATCTCTTCAACCCATACCACATCCATAGACACTCTTTTTGAGCTCAGTTTAATCAATTATTACTTATATAGCATTGGCTGATTACAAACATGCTTAATAAAGACTATCACAAAATAGTCCATAAAAAGTGAATTCAAAAGGCAGTCTGATTTACATATTAAATTTCTAGAAAACAAAATACAACTATAATGCATACAACACACTGAAAAACTGAGATCAATGGGAAGGTCAGGGAACGAGGAGCAAACAGATGTAGGTGACGACACACTCACTAATTCCTTTCACTGTGGGGACTGAAGACAGAGGTAGGGGAAACAACCACCCAGTTGATTATGGGAACATAGGGAGCAATCTAAGTTAAAAACAAGAAATAAACAAGAAATCAAGGTAGCTAAAGAAAATAACTTGAAATAGATGAAACATAAAAATAAAGAAAGGAGCTGAGAAACGGAAAAATGTGGCTGG